AGTGAAGACAAAGGCTACCGCTGTCTCCCTGCACTCATAGAAAACGTTCGAATGCAAAAGCCACACGATAGATGCCAGCATTCCGCGTTTGTACGCGACGATCGACGAGTGCAGTGGAGACAAAGGCTACCGCTGTCTCCCTGCACTGATAGAAAACGTTCGAATGCAAAAGCCACACGATTGATGCCAGCATTCCGCGTTTGTACGCGACGATCGACGAGTGCAGTGAAGACAAAGGCTACCGCTGTCTCCCTGCACTGATAGAAAACGTTCGGATGCAAAAGCCACACGATAGATGCCAGCATTCCGCGTTTGTACGCGACGATCGACGAGTGCAGTGAAGACAAAGGCTACCGCTGTCTCCCTGCACTCATAGAAAACGTTCGAATGCAAAAGCCACACGCTAGATGCCGGCATTCCGCGTTTGTACGCGACGATCGACGAGTGCAGTGAAGACAAAGGCTACCGCTGTCTCCCTGCACTCATAGAAAACGTTCGAATGCAAAAGCCACACGCTAGATGCCGGCATTCCGCGTTTGTACGCGACGATCGACGAGTGCAGTGAAGACAAAGGCTACCGCTGTCTCCCTGCACTCACAGAAAACGTTCGAATGCAAAAGCCACACGATAGATGCCAGCATTCCGCGTTTGTACGCGACGATCGACGAGTGCAGTGGAGACAAAGGCTACCGCTGTCTCCCTGCACTGATAGAAAACGTTCGAATGCAAAAGCCACACGATAGATGCCAGCATTCCGCGTTTGTACGCGACGATCGACGAGTGCAGTGAAGACAAAGGCTACCGCTGTCTCCCTGCACTCATAGAAAACGTTCGAATGCAAAAGCCACACGCTAGATGCCGGCATTCCGCGTTTGTACGCGACGATCGACGAGTGCAGTGGAGACAAAGGCTACCGCTGTCTCCCTGCACTCATAGAAAACGTTCGAATGCAAAAGCCACACGCTAGATGCCGGCATTCCGCGTTTGAACGTGACGATCGACGAGTGCAGTGAAGACAAAGGCTACCGCTGTCTCCCTGCTCTCATAGAAAACGTTCGAATGCAAAAGCCACATGCTAGATGCCGGCATTCCGCGTTTGTACGCGACGAACGACGAGTGCAGTGGAGACAAAGGCTACCGCTGTCTCCCTGCACTCATAGAAAACGTTCGAATGCAAAAGCCACACGCTAGATGCCGGCATTCCGCGTTTGTACGCGACGATCGACGAGTGCAGTGAAGACAAAGGCTACCGCTGTCTCCCTGCACTCATAGAAAACGTTCGAATGCAAAAGCCACACGCTAGATGCCGGCATTCCGCGTTTGTACGCGACGATCGACGAGTGCAGTGGAGACAAAGGCTATCGCTGTCTCCCTGCACTCATAGAAAACGTTCGAATGCAAAAGCCACACGCTACATGCCGGCATTCCGCGTTTGTACGCAACGAACGACGAGTGCAGTGAAGACAAAGGCTACCGCTGTCTCCCTGCACTCATAGAAAACGTTCGAATGCAAAAGCCACACGCTAGATGCCGGCATTCCGCGTTTGTACGCGACGATCGACGAGTGCAGTGAAGACAAAGGCTACCGCTGTCTCCCTGCCCTCATAGAAAACGTTCGAATGCAAAAGCCACACGCTAGATGCCGGCATTCCGCGTTTGTACGCGACGAACGACGAGTGCAGTGAAGACAAAGGCTACCGCTGTCTCCCTGCACTCATAGAAAACGTTCGAATGCAAAAGCCACACGCTAGATGCCGGCATTCCGCGTTTGTACGCGACGATCGACGAGTGCAGTGAAGACAAAGGCTACCGCTGTCTCCCTGCACTCATTGAAAAGTTCGAATGCAAAAGCCACACGCTAGATGCCGGCATTCCGCGTTTGTACGCGACGAACGACGAGTGCAGTGGAGACAAAGGCTACCGCTGTCTCCCTGCACTCATAGAAAACGTTCGAATGCAAAAGCCACACGCTAGATGCCGGCATTCCGCGTTTGTACGCGACGATCGACGAGTGCAGTGGAGACAAAGGCTACCGCTGTCTCCCTGCACTCATAGAAAACGTTCGAATGCAAAAGCCACACGCTAGATGCCGGCATTCCGCGTTTGTACGCGACGAACGACGAGTGCAGTGGAGACAAAGGCTACCGCTGTCTCCTTGCACTCATAGAAAACGTTCGAATGCAAAAGCCACACGCTAGATGCCGGCATTCCGCGTTTGTACGCGACGATCGACGAGTGCAGTGAAGACAGGCTACCGCTGCCTCCCTGCACTCATAGAAAACGTTCGAATGCAAAAGCCACACGCTAGATGCCGGCATTCCGCGTTTGTACGCGACGATCGACGAGTGCAGTGGAGACAAAGGCTACCGCTGTCTCCCTGCACTCATAGAAAACGTTCGAATGCAAAAGCCACACGCTAGATGCCGGCATTCCGCGTTTGTACGCGACGATCGACGAGTGCAGTGAAGACAAAGGCTACCGCTGTCTCCCTGCACTCATAGAAAACGTTCGAATGCAAAAGCCACACGCTAGATGCCGGCATTCCGCGTTTGTACGCGACGATCGACGAGTGCAGTGAAGACAAAGGCTACCGCTGTCTCCCTGCACTCATAGAAAACGTTCGAATGCAAAAGCCACCCGCTAGATGCCGGCATTCCGCGTTTGTACGCGACGAACGACGAGTGCAGTGGAGACAAAGGCTACCGCTGTCTCCCTGCACTCATAGAAAACGTTCGAATGCAAAAGCCACACGCTAGATGCCGCCATTCCGCGTTTGTACGCGACGATCGACGAGTGCAGTGAAGACAAAGGCTACCGCTGTCTCCCTGCACTCATAGAAAACGTTCGAATGCAAAAGCCACACGCTAGATGCCGGCATTCCGCGTTTGTACGCGACGATCGACGAGTGCAGTGGAGACAAAGGCTACCGCTGTCTCCCTGCACTCATAGAAAACGTTCGAATGCAAAAGCCACACGCTAGATGCCGGCATTCCGCGTTTGTACGCGACGATCGACGAGTGCAGTGGAGACAAAGGCTACCGCTGTCTCCCTGCACTCATAGAAAACGTTCGAATGCAAAAGCCACACGCTAGATGCCGGCATTCCGCGTTTGTACGCGACGAACGACGAGTGCAGTGGAGACAAAGGCTACCGCTGTCTCCCTGCACTCATAGAAAACGTTCGAATGCAAAAGCCACACGCTAGATGCCGGCATTCCGCGTTTGTACGCGACGATCGACGAGTGCAGTGGAGACAAAGGCTACCGCTGTCTCCCTGCACTCATAGAAAACGTTCGAATGCAAAAGCCACACGCTAGATGCCGGCATTCCGCGTTTGTACGCCACGGTCGACGAGTGCAGTGGAGACAAAGGCTACCGCTGTCTCCCTGCACTCATAGAAAACGTTCGAATGCAAAAGCCACACGCTAGATGCCGGCATTCCGCGTTTGTACGCGACGATCGACGAGTGCAGTGGAGACAAAGGCTACCGCTGTCTCCCTGCACTCATAGAAAACGTTCGAATGCAAAAGCCACACGCTAGATGCCGGCATTCCGCGTTTGTACGCGACGATCGACGAGTGCAGTGGAGACAAAGGCTACCGCTGTCTCCCTGCACTCATAGAAAACGTTCGAATGCAAAAGCCACACGCTAGATGCCGGCATTCCGCGTTTGTACGCGACGATCGACGAGTGCAGTGGAGACAAAGGCTACCGCTGTCTCCCTGCACTCATAGAAAACGTTCGAATGCAAAAGCCACACGCTAGATGCCGGCATTCCGCGTTTGTACGCGACGAACGACGAGTGCAGTGGAGACAAAGGCTACCGCTGTCTCCCTGCACTCATAGAAAACGTTCGAATGCAAAAACCACACGCTAGATGCCGGCATTCCGCGTTTGTACGCGACGATCGACGAGTGCAGTGGAGACAAAGGCTACCACTGTCTCCCTGCACTCATAGAAAACGTTCGAATGCAAAAGCCACACGCTAGATGCCGGCATTCCGCGTTTGTACGCGACGATCGACGAGTGCAGTGGAGACAAAGGCTACCGCTGTCTCCCTGCACTCATAGAAAACGTTCGAATGCAAAAGCCACACGCTAGATGCCGGCATTCCGCGTTTGTACGCGACGATCGACGAGTGCAGTGGAGACAAAGGCTACCGCTGTCTCCCTGCACTCATAGAAAACGTTCGAATGCAAAAGCCACACGCTAGATGCCGGCATTCCGCGTTTGTACGCGACGATCGACGAGTGCAGTGGAGACAAAGGCTACCGCTGTCTCCCTGCACTCATAGAAAACGTTCGAATGCAAAGGCCACACGCTAGATGCCGGCATTCCGCGTTTGTACGCGACGATCGACGAGTGCAGTGGAGACAAAGGCTACCGCTGTCTCCCTGCACTCATAGAAAACGTTCGAATGCAAAAGCCACACGCTAGATGCCGGCATTCCGCGTTTGTACGCGACGATCGACGAGTGCAGTGAAGACAAAGGCTGCTAGCTTTAGGTCTACCCACTAATCATTCCGACCAGAGCTCGGCGTTCTGAAGTCCCTACGCGTTCCAGTCTCCTCATTTCCCTCAGTTTCCCGACCCCTTGTGGAATGCATGTCTATTGACGCTTGAAGTGATACCAGAAAAAATAATAGGACGACACATCTGCTAGCAAAAGTGAGTCAAACTGTACTGAGCGCGCATTCGGAAGGTCTCATTTGAAGCGCCCTTTCACCCCACGCTTATGCTGGAAGAGCTAACGTCGTGTTCTCAAACTTTGGCCTTCTACCCCCAAACGCTCGCGTCCCATTCTCAGGGAGTTTGAGCTCATGGCGATGAATAATTTACGCAAGCCGAGAAACACGGTTCTCCTTTCTCGGGAACGCCCCACAAAGAAAAAAACGAGTGGATCGAGTGCGTACATTGTGAGGAATTAGTCCGTTGCAGTGAAAAGATCGGAAGTGGTTTGTTACGAAACATTTTGTCTTAACAAGTATGTAAGGTACTTACATTTTCTTTCTTTTTTTCCCACCGATGATGTTGCTTCCTTACATGTCCGAAGTCTGCCTCTTGATGCTCCTAAGTCGAGTCAAGCTGCAAGAAAATGGGCTATTTGTGGCGAACGTTAAAACTTTAACGGAAAAGGCGTGATGAAAGGAGAACAAGAGGGAAATAAAAAAAAATAAAAATCGAGGTCTCAATTAAATATAGAAAAAAAAATAAGAAAAACCTGTTCTTCTGGTACAGGGGGAAAATAGAGTGAACTGGATCGACTCTTGTTTCAAAGGAAAAGAAAAAATACAATTGCGTTTTTGTTCGAGTTAGGCACGTGTACAGACCAAGGACTGGTTGGGTCGATGAAGGCTAGGAATTTTAATTTCACAGTGTGATAGCTTGATCCAACAAGCCCACGTCCCTCACAACCTCAATAATTATGGAAAGAAATCGATTGCGCAGGCGATCTGGTGATAGTTAATCATGATGGTTAAAACTTGAGTCTGTAGTGAGGGGAAAAAATGGGAAACTTTGAAGTCGAAGAAAGAAGAACAGAAGACGTTTCAAAAGCAGCTAAATAGTTTTTCTTTGCTCATCTAGAGCTATTTTTTAATGTGATACCAACCACTTCCCTTGACTTCATTTACCGATCTTTCAGCGTCTGCTTTCTCCCTTGCGAGTGATTTTAAACTTTCCTTTGATTTATGTTCCAATCTTTCAGCCACTGTTTTATTTCTTGAGTGTGACAATAACCACTTTTTTTGGCTTGATCTAAGAATCGTCTTGCCTCTGCTTTATTTATCGCGCGTGATATTAAACACTTTCTTGGGCTTTATCTTACAATTCTTCAATTGCTGCTTTATCCCTTGCGTGTAATATTCAACAAATTCCTTGGGCTTATTCACAAAACTTTTATTATGTATGCTTTCTACCCTGTGCATGACATTTAACATGTTCGTTGTCTTTACCAATATTTTATACTCTATTTTATCGCCTGCGATATTTACACCTTCCTTATCTTTATCCACCAATCTTTCAACTTCACCTCTTTCGCATTTTATTTAACACTTTCCATGTTTTCATCTGTCAATCTTTAAACCTATGGTTGTCACTTGCGCATGACATCTTAGTGTTGCGATTGACAAATGTAAGTACTTCAAATCACCAACCTGTATCCCAAGTCGTATGGATCGTTCGAGGAAGATAAAACAAAATCATGTCGAGCAGGTTGTAATAGATATTTAATTTTTACCAAAAGAATTAGTCAGTGAAACGAGTTGCCTGAGGCCGATTTTCGGCATAATGACCCGTGACCATTTTTTTTAAAAAAAGGTCGTCTCGATTTTTTAATTATGTTTTTTACACGCACTTTTTATGTGTGTTTTTATTTAACAGCCTTACTAGATATAGCATTACTATAATATTATTTTTTTCTTTAGAGCTGCACCTGCTATAATGTTTTCCCCCTTAAATTTATACCTATCAGTCTTCAAACCTCTGTGGTTGTTTTTTATTGTGCATGATAATTAACATTTTCTTGGCACTATCCCTTGAATTTACCTTACTTTCAACTACTTTGAAATATTCAAATTTCGTTCGGAAATGAGTCAAGCATGGCGGATAATAACCGTAAATGATAATCGCACGTTTGGATTTTGAACGACTGGCTATATTTTTCGTTCGAAACGGTGCACTCGAACAAGCGCTCGAAGAGAAGCGAACGGAGAGCGCGATGCGTCGTGGGATATCCGGCGCAAATAAAAACAGAAAGAAAAGATTTCCCGTGTTTGTAGACCGTTTCCGCAGCCCGCTAAGCACCCGGATAGCGCTCCGTAATCCGCCACAAGACCTTGAACTATGCAGAGAAAGCTGGTGGCGCGCATGCGCAGCTGCGGCGTTTTCTTCGGGAATACCGTAGCGGAGGAGAAAAACGATCTACTACAACTCCCTAATAGCGTCAGCGCGTTACAACCGAGCCGTTCGAAGTACCCGTGGGGGGACGAGCGTGTGGCTGGCCCAAGGAGCACGTAGCTTCCACAACACTGTCAGCTTACGGCGGAACGGGAGCAACTTTTGTTCTGAGCGACGGGCTAATGTACAGAACGCAGTGTACATCCTTTGTTTTTGTATTATCCACTCCTGCTTTGGCCCTTAACAGGGCTGGCAGTATTGTGAAATAATCTTCTAGGGGGAGAACGGCTGTTTCCAGTTGCACAAACGAGGGTCCGAGAAAGAGGGGAGTCCTTCCTTTCCGTCTTCTTGGACCGTTTGGTACAATGCCCGATTTGGGAGTTGAGCTATACACGAACTCATCTCTGTGACGTCACGGCGTGGTGGTGGCGCGTCGGTCGCACTTCCGGTCTGGGGCTGTGGGCAGAAGTCCCCATGCCAGACGTGTATTCCTGCGTTGTTTTGAAAGGAACCAGACAAAAACCTGCCTTCTCGTCAAAACGCCGCGACTGGGGCCGTACCAAAAGTGTCGAGAAAGGTTTCAAGGTCAGTTTTCACGCGGTCGGTTCGTCCGAGAATCTGGATATGTGCCGTGAAAAGGGAAAAGCAGACGCCGTCGGACAACGATTGCTTGGGCGGGAAGCACTTTGGGTTGAATTCACGGATACTTGTGGTCATCAGATTTATTTGTTTTGTTCCAACATGAACGCCAGAAAACTGTCAAGTTGTGCAGACCACCTGTGGACTACGTTCAGTGCGTCTTCAAGTTCAAACGGCCGCTTGATTGTTTGAATTGTCGTCTGCTCTTTCAAACGTTTGTTTGAAAGAGCAGACGCCGGTCCGTAGACCAAGTGTTGGCCCGGTACTTGCGATAAGAAGTGAGTGCAGGCCTCAAAAGACTTAAATTTTAAGGTTGGTAAGCAGGCTCGATGTAAACAGTAGATACAAGGAGATGTTGGTCATTGTTACCAGTGACCAACACCGACTTGTTATGCCTAATTTAGTTGGTCCGATTCTGCTTGCGATTTTCAGTATCGTCGTCGACCATCTCAGCTACGGTTCACGCTTTTGCAGCCCGAGCGGCGTCGCGACTGAAAATTCCGAGCGAAATATCATCACGCGAATCAGGCTTTAGCGTGCAATTTGCGGCGTCCACGCGGAATGAATCGCCACATGTCACATTATTCACGCGAAGTTTTGCGGTGTAACGAGCCTCGGTAATTTCGCTGACGCCGCTCAAGTAGCCAGACATCGCCAGGAAGACGTAGAACCAACAATTCGAACGCGAAAAAGGGCAGGGGGACTCACACCGACGCCGACAACATCGCATTTCAATGTTTTGTTTATGGGCGACGGCGAGCTTTTTGCCCACACCCCCATCGCGCATGCGCGGCGCCGGTGGCGTCCGCTAGGGGCGCTCCGGGTGCTCCGGTTTGTTTGTAAACATGAGTTGGTGTATAGAAAGAAAGCTAAGGAAAATGTTGAAATTCCAAAGGACGGCGCTGCTCCTAAGGATTAGTAAGGAATCTGCTACGTTACGACTGCGTCTCAAGTTCCCCAACGTTGCTAGATTACCTCCCAAATAGGCTCCGCATGCATCCACCAGGTGCACATTGAAAGATAGTTTATTTAGCTTTAAAATTAGTTTTTTTGTGCCTTTCAACGAAAAACTGGTGTTTTTGAGGTTAGGGTGCAACATATAACACGTTCAAGCTAGAAAATGAGCAATGGAATTTCGTTTCCCTACTTCTTTAACACTTCCATTGCCTTCATTCAGGAATTTTTCAACATTTGCTTTGTCGATATGCCCGTTTTTTTATCCGCATTTTTGTCGTTCACCGTAAATTCGTACGGGCTTGAAGAACTCCTGTTACACTCCGGAACGTTTCCGCCTACCCAATTGATGTCGACGGGTATATTCTTACACATCAAGTATAGCGCGCGCTTTATTCAGTTTGTTGTGGCGACACAACTGGTGTGCGCGATTCTTAAAGTTTCATATCGCATTTTCGGACGCCTTAAAATGTTCCATTTATCACTCTGATACACTACGGCCAGTGCGGCTCAGGAATCCAAAACAATATTTCGTTGCTATCGGGTCAATGCTTTTCTTTAAATTATACATAAAAAAAAACAAAACAAAAAACTGAAAGCATGAAGTGAGCGCCCTGAGAGCACAACTTCAAGCGATAAATGTTACGCGAGAATGCCCGTATCGATCTGCATAGGCGTCGTACCGGCGTGTGGTCTTAAAGACCTTGAAAACCTCAAACTAGTAGTCGTACTACTGGCGTTAAATTTCTAATTTACAGTGGAGACATGAGACGCCCATTGCAGGGCCGACTTACTTTACTTTTGAGCAGTGGACGGGCACTGATCATATTGCCTTTTATATTAAACGGTCGCTTGCGACACCTTGTAGCGGGCACGCGCAATTTTTTTTGTACTTTGTGCTATTTGCATTAATTAACCTGCAAAGCAGATATGCACTGTACATTTTTAACGGGTGTTTTTTTTTTTTCGGGTGGAACCAGCCGAAAATTGAAAGGAAGGAAGGATATAAGAAAAATACAACCGACCGCTCAATTTCCAGCTATTTATTTAATCCTCATTCTCTGCTGCTAATGTTGTTTGTTTCGTTTTGCTTTTTTCTTCACTAATTATTTTGCTAACCCCTTTTTCTTATATTTACTGAGCAAAAGAATTGGTGTCCTACAGAAACAGTTTTATTTTCTTTATGGTGCAGTGTGATTGAAGCGGAACTCATGCAATTATCTTCCTTTCCCTAAATAAATTAAGTAGTCGTTAGTTGTTTCTACAGCGGGAGGTTAGTCTTCCGGAAGCATGGGGACATTGTTGCCCACTTTAGATGATAAATTTAGCTAGTGGAATAAAACCGCTAGCCTGGGGTCTTTGACTTGCATCACGCAGTAGTGATACACGACCGCAAGAGGTACGATGCTCATCCAGATAGAAACAGGGCGGGTTGGAGATCAGACCCAGGATCCCTGGGCTCTACAGCCCGAGTCTTGGTTATAGGTGCTCCTAGATCCACTAAATGAGCTACGCTTAGAGTGTCGGCACTCCGTTCCCCGACATTATTGCGGGTGCCGCCATTTTGGTGCTTGTCCAGAGCAGACGCAACTGCCGATCGTCATGATTCAAAAGAGCGACTTTCTAAGCATTAGATTTGGTGTTAGCAAGCTCATGA